GAGCGCCTTTTGCAATCACTGGTTTTATGTCATTTATCGAGCTTTATCTCATTGGAGTCAGTATCTTCTTGCCAAGTCATTTGTCCTATATTCTGATCATGAGGCATTAAAGTTCATTAATCACCAACATAAGCTAAACAAAAGGCATGTAGCTTGGGTAGAGTTCTTGCAATCTTATAATTTTACAATCAAGCACAAATCCGATGTTCAAAACGTAGTTGTTGATGCATTGAGCAGAAAACATTCTTTATTAGTAGCAATGGAAGTTAAAGCGGTTGGATTTAAGACATTCAAAGATCTCTATGAGAATGATGTGGCTTTCGGCTCAATATAGCAGAATTGCACATCAGGTTTCTTTCAACGATTTTCTATCTTTAATGGTTTTCTTTTTCGAGCTAATGCATTGTGTGTTCCATCTTGTTCTTTGAGACAAGTAGTTCTAGCTGAAGCTCATGGTGGTGTTTTGAGAGGACATTTCGATAGGGACAAGACTCTAGCTCTTGTTTAATCAATTTTTATTGGCCTAAAATATTCAGAGATGTAGAGAGACATGTAAAGCAATGTCGAGTATATCATTTGGTAAAAACAAGAAGTCAAAATTCTGGTTTATACACTCTATTATTTGTGCCAAATGCTCCATGGGAGGATTTAAGTCTTGATTTCGTTTTGGGACTGCCAAAAACTCAAAGGAACAAGGATTCTATCATGGTTGTTATTGATAGATTTTCAAAAATGTCTCACTTTATTCCCTACAATAAATCAAATGATGTATTTCATATTATTGATTTATATTTTATGGAAATTGTTAAATTGCATGGTATTCCAAAAACTATGGTGTCTGATCGAGACTCTAAATTTCTTGGTCATTTTTTAAGAACTCTTTGGAGGAAGCTGGATACTTTTTTGAATTTTAGCAGCTCGCATCATCCACAAACCGATGGACAAATTGAGGTAACGGACAGAAGCTTAGAAAACTTAGAAGTTATGTTGGCATGAACATTAAGCAATGAGATCTCATTCTTCCACAAATTGAGTTTGCCTACAATCGTTCTATGCATTATAGCATTGGTAAGAGTCTTTTTGAGGTTATTTATGGTGATAATCCTATTGGTCTTTTAGACTTGGTCCCTTATTCGACAACTAAGCTGCATGAGGATGTTAAAGCAACCATAGAAAAGCAAAATGAGAGGTACATACAAGCTCCCAATAAATACAGAAAACATGTGGAGTTTAATACAAGTGATTTAGTTTGGATTCATCTAAGGAGGGAGAGGTTTCCACCGGGCAAATTTGGAAAATTGAAACCAAAGGTTGATGGTCCATTCAAGGTGCTTAAGAGAATTGACAAAAACTGTTTATGAGATCGAGCTATCTGAAGATTACGAAGTGTCCCCAACATTTAATGTGGCTGATTTAAGTCCTTTTCATAATCATGCTAACGAAACAAATAAGGACTTGAGGATAAGTCTTTTTCAACCAGGGGAGATTAACACGAGAGTGCCTAATTTGCTACGATCTGCTCATATGGACCTTGCTGATGCTATGGTATATTTTTCAGCCCATAATGTTGTCTCATAATTTTCAACTCAGCCCACTCAAATATGACAACTCATGAGCACATTTTTTGGATAAAGTTACAACTGATTCAAGGTACTTTTCTTCATGACCAAGGAATGTATTAAAGAAGTTAGTTACCAACTGTAAAACATTTAATTTCAAAATTCCCTATGCATGAAGGGTTATTTCATGCACTAGTACTTATCTTGGTGTTTAGGGGTTAGAAAGAACTTTAGAAACTGATGATATTGGCAGAAGCTCTCTTGTAGTGCTCTCTTAAACTTTGTATCTCTTCGATACGTCCTTGAGTGTTGAGTCTTTTTGTTTTTAGTTTTGTATCCTTGTTTATTATCCTTGGGGTGGTGATTTTTCTGTATCCCTTTGTGATTTTAAACTTGGTGGTGAGCATTCTTTTCGATCTTATTAAAATTTTATCGTGAGTTCGTTCCTTTCCTACTATTAGCTTTCTTTCGAAATTCATTTTGCATTACCCCTCGGTATCATAGTTGGTAATGCATAATGAATTGTTAAATGATACTTCTGCTTCGATTCATCTAATAAGTTATTGAATGTGTTCCTCAGATGCATACGAAAGCAACCCTCATGAAACCAAAATGTTTAGTGCCTAAAACACATGTAATCTTGTTCCGATGAGATGTAGCTCTTTAATAATGCATTTATTAGATGGTAATATTAATTAGAAATTTGAGGATGTAGAGGAATTCTTATTAGGATAATATAGTAAAGAAGGCATATTTGATCTTTAAATACATATATTTCTTTTACTGCTTTAAGCTAATGATAGTGGTATCTTTTGGCAATGGTTATTTTTTTCTGCTCCCAATTTATGTTAATGGAAACTACTAAATAATCTTTTTTTATTGAACTTATTATTTATCTAGAAGCTGAAAATGGAAACTTATGCTACAAGATGCACTTGTGCGTAGGATGAGTGAACTTTACCCTTGCGTTGCATCATTCATTTTTACCACTAGGCCCAAATAAACGTTTATAGGTAAAATTTGTTTCTATGACTTGTGGCAGCTTGGTTATGGTAGTACAGATCAAAAGATTCATGTCAATGCTTTACATAACATTTGTTCTCAAAATTGACATGGGATATCTTTTGCCATTAATAAACTCAATGTTGAGACCATATACTGCATTTTCCCTGTTAGGTACATTTAGAATTGAAAAGAAAAAAAAATATGTAAAAGAAGAGTCTCAAATTGGTTGTGGATTATTTTGAGAATTGAAGAAGTGGGAAATTTCAACTCGAAGACAGAAAAATTGTTTAAAATTGTTATAATCATTTTTTCTTGTTTACATATACTGCAGAACAAAACTCAGTTTTACAAGATGGACTGCTGATTGGAAGAACGCTACCTCATTGTATGAGCAAGCAGGTTGGTTAACATTAGTTTGGCCTTTTTTGGCGAGAATTGCTCCTTGTCTTGCTTATAAGTACAATTTTTTGAAGCTATTGGCTACAGATTCAGGAAAGATAATGAGAAAGCAAAAGAAGCTTTTGAGAAGGCTTCCAAGGGTCAAGAAATGATTTCTTCGTATCCTATTTCCTTATACATTTTCTAAAATTTCATAAGATACTTCCCATTTGTATTTGGAAACTGTAATCTTGACAAGCTTTTTAGCCCTTGGGATGCTGCAAAACATATGGAATCTGCTGCTGCTCTAGCAAAAGAGCTTGGTCACTGGAATGAAGTTTCTGACTTCTACAGAAGGGCATCTGAGTTATACAGAGAATGTGGACGATCACAGCCTGCATCAGATGCTCTAGCAAAGGGTGCTAGGTAAGTACAAATGATGTAAACTGTATTGGTCGAATAGCACATACGAAACTTATCTTGTACGGGATTGGCTTTAGTGCCTTGGAAGATGCGGTCCCTGATGAAGCTGTTCGGTTGTACACGGATGCTTGTGTTATTCTGGAGGAAGATGGAAGGGAGCAAATGGCTTTTGATTTATATCGTGCTGCCACAAGTGTTTATGTTAAACTTGAAAGGTGCAAAGGTTCACATCCAGGCATTACTTTTAGCATATGATTTTCATGAATTCAACATGTAATTTATGTATATATATACTCTTCTTAGTATTGT